TGGTGCACTTAAAGCAGCTGGAGAAGCCAAAAGAAGTTGCCCTCTGTTCGGAACTGTGAGTTGCAACCTCTTCACCTGCTGCACCTGCCCATGGCTGCTGCTTTGCCAACGACCGAAGGGTTGGGTGTGAAAAGTGTTGCTGTGATAGAGGGAAGGGTTGCCAACACCTTTAACCAGGGGGGAGTGCCATGGGGGGAGGTGCGATGGGTGGAATGGGGAGGTGCAATCGGGTAGTGGAAGGAGGTGGGGAGAAGTGTCAAGGTGGTAGGGAGAGGTGCGATAGGGCGGTCAGGGGAGGTGAGATAGGGTAGTAGGGGGGGAATGAGATAGGGCGGTAGGGGGAGGTGAGGTAGGGCGGTAGGGGAAGGCGAGATTGGGTGGTGACTAGGGGAGGTGAGATATGGATAGGGGGAGGTAACATGGGGCGGTCAGGGGAGGTGAGATAGGGTGGTAGGGGGAGGAGAGATTGGGCGGATAAGGGGAGGGGAGGTGAAATATGGATGTAGGGGGCGGTGAGACAGGGCGCTAGGAGGAGGTGCAACAAGCAGTCAGGGGAGGTGCGATGGGCAGTAGGGGGGGATGCCAACACGCGTTCCAGGTTCAGGTGCTTGATCAAGATCTGCGTCAGAAGCTGCAGCAAGGGAAGTTCCAAAAGTGCACTGGCTGGTGGCGTGGCATGAGGGCATGCAGCCACAATGAAATTGCAGGGTAGGGTTGCAGTTGCATGCCCTCATGGCTCGATGCAAGCGGCCAGCCATCTAGGGCACGCAGTTGCACCCTAAGCGAAACTCCGGGTGAGAGTCACCGTCGTCGAATCGCCGGGCGGGGCGACGGCAGTGTTGCTTCCCTGTGGAGCAATGTGAAGCTGGGGGAGGCTGTGCGCGGGAGAGTGGTCCAAAACGACCCTCGGTGTTGCTGAGGAGTTCTTTGAAGATTCAGCAGCAGTCCCTGTGGAACGGAGTGAGGCTGGGGAGGCTGTCCGTGGGCGAATGGTCCAACACGACCCTCGGTATTGTCGACGACCTCGCTATTTCTGTTTCAATGTCGGATGCTGATACAACTGCTGATCCTAATTCTGTTGCTGTCAGGGGTGTCAGAATGTTATATTCTCTAGCCTGCAGTGGGGTACTTCATAGTCAGTATGGCCCAGTTAGGGTTTGCTATTTGTATCTCAACTGCTGCTAGTGAAACCCCTCTTTCTGCTTCTAAACTTTTGCCTAAACTCTCGACATGCTATCAGAGCAGGTCGACCCCCTTGGGTCGATCCTGTGGGTGGGCCCACCACCTAATGCTTCCGCTGCTGTTCTACTTGTCGCGCGCCTCGGTCGCGCGACGCCTCCTTCCTGCCGCGCGCTCCGCGCGCGGCGAAATGTTTTTAGGGTTTTTCATCCCGCCGTGCGCTCGGGGCGCGCGGCGGTTTTCTGCCCGCCGTGTGCCCCGAGGCGCGCGGCGGTTTCCTACCGTGGGGGACCCCCGCGCGCCCCCGCCCTGTCCGTTGCGGCGCCCTGAGGGACCCGCGCGCTGCCCCCGCTGCCCCGTCGGTGGTCGCGTCGCCCCGCCACCCCGTCACGCCGCCCTAGGGAGCCGCGCGCGACCCTCTCTGCCCCGTCAACGGTCGCGTCGCCCTGCGGGACCCGCGCGCGATCCCCGTCGACCCTCGCGTCGCCCCCCGGAGACCCGCGAGCCGCCCCTGGAGCCGTGCGCGACCCCCCCCTGCCCTGTCGCGGCGCCCTGGGGGGCTGCGCGCGGCCCCTCGCTGCCCCATGGTGGCGCCCTGGGGGTCGCGCGCCTTCCCCCTCGCCGTCCCCCGCGCTCCTACCCCGTTCCGCCCGTTTTAGGGTTTGGGGGTGGGGAGTGTGGGGGTGGCGGTTATGGGGGTGACGGGTGTGTGCGCCGTCCCCTGCTCCTCCTCCTCCTCCTCCTCCGTCTCCCGCTGCTGCAGCTGCCGCTCAGGGGGGTGGTTGTGTGGGGAGCCGAAGGAGTGGTGCTAGGGGGGTGAAGGGGGAGTGGAGCTAGGGGTGCAGCAGGGGGTATGTGTAAGGAGGGGTGGGACTGTTTGGGGAGGTTGAACGGAGTCTGCCGTCTTGTCGTCCGCAGCACCTGTAGTCCGGGGCGCTGTCCTGGTAGCCCAGAGAGCCTGCTGCGCCTGTCGCCCGTGGGTCCGTTGCTTCTGCCGCTCAGAGTTAGCCGCAGAGCCAGTTACTCCCTGTAGTCCGGGGCGCTGTCCCGATAGCCACTGTGCCAGCCGCTCTTGTTGCCCGTGTGTCTGCAGCTTCAGCCGTCGCCTCCTATCTCCTCTCCTCTTACAGTCTCGCCTCCTCCTCCTCACTTGCCCTCTGTGACTGCCTCTAGCTTTGCTCATAAATTGTGAACTACTGCTATGACTGCTTGTTGTGCTGATTACACCCCACTTTGGCTATGGGGGTGTGTCAGAATGTTATATTGTCTAGCCTGCAGTGGGGTACTCCATAGTGAGTACGGCCCAGTTAGGGTTTGCTATTTGTATCTCAACTGCTGCTAGTGAAACCCCTCTTTCTGCTTCTAAACTTTTGCCTAAACTCTCGACAAGGGGAGACCCGCTTCCTGATCAAACAGCAGCAGGTTTTGCCGCAGCGGTTGACGCGGTTGACTCATTTGAACTGCTCTGTCTGATTCCTACCCTCAGAGACATCGTCGCCGTTGACCCGGCCGAGTCTGGAGTTCCTTCTTGAGATGAGGATATTGTTGACTGGCGTTTGTCATTTTCTGATTCCGTAACTTCTGTGGATAAGGTCATCTCAGCTGCATGAGGTTCCGACCTCGAAATTTCAGCTGCATCAGACTGTTCGCCGTGTGAAAAAAGCAGCTGGTTTCTTCCCCATACAGCTAGCGCTTTCGTGCTGCCTGTAGACCTAGATACATTATCGGTGACTCAGTCGTCGCTTTCCATGCTACTTGTATTGGATGCGTGTCTTCTACTTTGGGCGGCTCATCTTCGTCGTTTCAATGCGGCTCAATGAGATGTTTCACGTTTTACAACGGTCAAATAAATTTCTACATTGGCGGGATGGGTGTAGCAGAGATGAAATGATGATGAATCGCCTTCCGGAACCTTGAGGGCAGCTCCTGTCAAAATAGCAGGCAGAAACTAGAAACAGGAAAGAGGATTTTCACTAGCAAGCAGTTGAGTACATATAGCAAACCCTAATTCGGGCTGTACTCGCTATAGAGTACCCCACTGCAGGCTAGACAAACATCACATTCTGACACACCCCCTTAATCAAAGTGGGGTACAATCAACACAGCAAGCAGTCATAGATGAGTAGTTCACAATGATAAGCAAAGCTAGAGACTATCACAGAGGGCAAGTGAGGAGGAGGAGAAACTGTGGAGGCGAGAAGATGGGAGGCGACGGCTGAAGCTGCAGACACACGGGCAACAGGAGTGCGTAGCACTGTCGCTACCAGGCTATACCCGGACTACACGGCGACAGGCGCAGCTGGCTCTCTGTGCTCCCAGGAGTGCTCACACTGTGGCTACCAGGCGCAGAGCCCCGGACTACTCAGGCCACAGACGCAGCTGGCTCTCTGGACTACCAGGAGTGCTCACACTGTGGCTACCAGGCTATACCCGGACTACTCAGGCCACAGACGCAGCTGGCTCTCTGGACTACAGGCGCTGCGGACGACAAGACGGCTGCCTCCACTCAACTTCCCCCAGCTGTCCCACACCCTTTTCACACACCCCTTGGTGTACCTCTAGCACTGCTCACACGCCACCCCCCTAGTACCACTCCGACGGCTCCCACACATCCACCCCCCTCAGCGGCAGCTGCAGCAGTGGGAGACGGAGGAGGAGGAGGAGCAGGGGACGGCGCACACACCCGTCACCCCCATACTCGCCACCCCCACACTCGCCACCCCCAAACCCTAACACAGGCAGCAGCGGGGGGGGCGGTGCGCGGGCAGCAGCTCGGGGCAGAGAGGGGCCGCGCGCGGCTCCCCAGGGCGCCTCGACGGGGCAGCAGGGTGGCCGCGCGCGGCTCCCGAGGGCGTCGCGACGGGGCGGCGGGGTCGCGCGCGGCTCCCCATGGCGTCGCGCCGGGGTAGCGGGGGCCGCGTGCGGCTTCCGAGGGCGTCGCGACGCGACAGCGGGGTCGCGCGCGGCTCAGCGGGATGACGCGACGGGCTTCCGGGGGGGGCGACGCGACCGCCGACGGGGGAGGGGGGGGTCGACGGGGCAGAAAACCGCCACATGCCCCGAGCGCGCGGCGGGAAGAAAAAACGCCGCGCGCCCTGAGCGCGCGGCAGGCAGCAGACATCGCGCGCCCAGGGCGTGCGATAGGCAGAACAGCAGCGGAAGCATCGGGCGGGACCACCCACAGGATCGACCCAGGAGGGTCGACCTGCTCTGATAGCATGTCAAAATAGCAGGCAGAAACTAGAAACAGGAAAGAAGATTTTCACTAGCAAGCAGTTGAGTACATATAGCAAACCCTAATTCGGGCTGTACTCGCTATAGAGTACCCCACTGCAGGCTAGACAAACATCACATTCTGACAGCTCCTGCGGGGATGCGGGTGAGGAGCGGAGTGAGGTGGATTGATTGCGCTGGCTGTTGGCGGTATCGGCAACAACTGAACTTCGCTGAGGTCGACTGGTTTCGTAGGCAACACTTCCGACCAGTAGAAACGGGCATTTTGCTTCGCGTAGATTTGCGAATGGTGGCCCACGATGTTGCTTCGCGTAAATTTGCGAAATCTAGCCCACGGTGTAACGAAACGAACGACTTTCAACCGTCGTTCCTCACTGGAATGTGAGGCCACTGTCCTCCCTGAAATTTCTATATTCCACGAGGATTGCACAATTCGTGGCTGTGGATTCTCCCTCGTTGAACGTGGTGATGCTAGTTGCGATGTTACGGTGCCAGAGCAAGTTCATCTATTTTTTTTAGACACCGAAGAACGAGCATATACTGACAAAAACGGTCTTAACCGTGCGTGAGGAGCTAGAGGGGACCTCATGCTCCAGATAAGATTCCTAGGGCCTGCTGTTCCTGACCCTCCGCGCCGACCAAATTGCTGCACAGAGTAACAATCAGATACCAGCCTTGCTGAAATGTCAACGTTCGTACAGGACCATGATTACCGTGGTTGTTGCTGCGCTACTAACCGTAGTCGCATCGCCGAGACAGGCCGACTCGGAATGGCAAGTGTTAGTCTGGGAATCTCTCGGAATGGAACGTTCGACCCGAGAAAACAGCAGACTCTCTGGAGGAAATCTCTTTCTCAGAGTGCAACATATCGGGAAAAGTAGTCTAATTTTGGGAATTATTTCTCCTTAGGAACGTGTCGGAGCCGATGAATTTCTGCCGCATCTCTCGCCGCAAATTGCGGGTTCAACCAGGAGCCACGTGCCTTCTCCATGTCGCGATTTTCCGACGGGTTACGTTTCTCCTCTATTTCGTAGCCTTCGGTCGTGTCTCCGATGGTCTCGTCGACTGTTATAGCCTAACCAATCGAAGTAAGAGGCTCCGCTTTTCCCGTTTCTGGTATCACCGCCATTGACCGTGGCAAGTCTGTATAAGTTTGGTTGCTATCCGCTCGATTACCCTCTTAATCTCCAATTTTCTTCCATTATATCCCCTCGTCTTTGGCCGTCACAGGTGAATCTTCAAACCTCCTCTCGAACCCAAGCTTCGATACAAGCTGTCTCGATACAGGATGGCGTCGCAAGAATCTGAACGCGTCGTGCGATCCATGGCCGTACTTATTCCCGTGGCGCGCGTTGGAACCTGGGGAATCACTCTCAACCGACGAGTTCTTAGCCACCGCCGCATCTGGCGGCGCAAACCGCGGAGCATTGCTCGCTCCAGCGGGTGTGACGCTGGTGGAAGCCGCGGCCGCGACAGCAGAAGGAACGGCATCGCCTGCTGACGTGTCAATAACGAATGGGGTCACGGGAGTCACGGACGCTCTACTAGCAGCTGATGGGTCCCGATTTTTACAGCTGACTTCCGCTTTTTCCGCGTCGTCTAATGGCGACGGCGCTTCTGGTAGTAGCAATGGCAGCAGCAATAGTAACAATAGTAGTAGCGGCCCAGGCGTGGCGCAAGCGCTGTGCGAACTCAAGCCCGCGGCGCCAACGAGCAACGAGTCGCAGCAGGCTCAGCAGCAGCAGTCCCCGCGCCAGCTGTCCCTCTCGTTCTTTGCGCGCGCCAGCCTGTGCGCGGAGGGGGAAGGGGGCGCGGATGGGGGCGCGGAAGGGGAGGCGGAAGGGGAGGCGGAGCGGCTGTTGAGGGTGCTGCTGCTGGCAGTTCCGCTGAACGCTTCCGCCACCGCCACAGCTGGAGGAGGGGGAGCAACTGGGGGAGGGGCGGGGGAAGGAGGAGCGGGGGAGCAGGTGTGGGGGGAGTGGCGGGTGGGCGTGCCGTGTGGGGGAAGCAGCGCGAGTTTGTCCGGCGCCTTGCCTTGGTTCCAAGTGGGTCCCCTCCTCTTCCCCCTCCCTGACCTCCCAGATTCCTCCTCTTCTTCTTCCCCTTCCTCGCTGGTAGTGCCCCCAGGGGGAGTGACGCTGCACTTGGTGATTCGAGGTGCGCAAGACAGTAACAGCAGCAGTAACAGCACGAGCGGCACTGCCACCAATACCACCACCAGCAATATTGCCACCGCCACAAGCAGCGTAGCTGCCAGCGGCAGTGAGAGCAGTAGCATCGGCGCCACCAGCACCACTGTTGCTGCGAGTACGGGAGGAGGAGGTGCAGGAGCAGGAGCGGGAGTGAAGGTGGCGGCGGTAAAGCGAGTGGGTGTGGTGTCGGAAGCCGGAGGAGGAGCAGTATTGGGGAGCACTGCTATCGACCTCGTGTCTGTCATGCCTACCCGCAGTGAGTGAGAGAGGCAGCAATGGTTGCCAGGGTCACAGGTGTGTCACGGGTATTGTTGGCTGAAAGCATGCGCTGCACACATGCTCAACTCCCACCCACTCAAGTGCACGATCGATCTTTCATTGCACTTCTGCTCGCACTCTTCCTTCCCGTTCACCTCCTCCCTCTCTTCCCCCACTCCCCATCCCTGTCACTGCCCTGCAGCCGACCCCTCTCCTCTCAAGTCCTTCTCCCACTGGCCGCTCTCCAGCTCCTACCCGCTCCTCACAGCCGGCTCAACCCGACGCAACCGATCCTCCCTCTCCCTCACCACGCTCTCTGACCTTAACTCTGCTGCTCTCGCGCTGCACCCCGCCCCCTTCGCCCTGCTCGCCCCCGCCACGCCCGCCTCCCCCTGCCGCCCCTTCTCCTTCTCCACCTCCTTCGCCTTCCGCATCTCCTCCCCCAACGCCGCCGGGCTGGGTGGCGAGGGCTTGGCGTTTGTGATGCTGCCGACGCCCACGCTCGGCCTGCCGGGGCCCTCCCTGGGCTACGGCCGCGTGCTGCTATCCCCGGGGAGCACAACTGTTGCTGATAATTCGAGTTCCGGCAGTGGCGTGTCATCTCAGGTGCGTGTCATCTCAGGTATGTGTAATCTCAGGTATGTGTTACGAGGGCAATGGAATGGTTTGATCATCTCGGGTATCTGTCATTTTACGAACAGGTCCTTTGAAATGAGTGTGTTGTTGAGACGTCTCAAAAACACACTCCTTTCACGTGTCATCTCATGTATGTTGTTACCGCAGGAACATGTCCCTTGTGAACATACCATTCCATTGCCCTCGTTCGGCCTACCAAAAGGAGGTATGCTTATTAGTTTCATCTCTTCCTTCTCTCTCATCTTCCATCTCTTGTCTCCCGTGTTTCACCTTCCATCTCTCTCCATCTCTCGCCTTCCATCTCTCGCCTTCCATCTCTCGCCTTCCATCTCTCGCCTTCCATCTCTCGCCTTCCATCTCTCGCCTTCCATCTCTCGCCTTCCATCTCTCGCCTTCCATCTCTCGCCTTCCATCTCTCGCCTTCCATCTCTCGCCTTCCATCTCTCGCCTTCCATCTCTCGCCTTCCATCTCTCGCCTTCCATCTCTCGCCTTCCGTCTCTCGCCTTCCGTCTCTCGCCTTCCGTCTCTCGCCTTCCGTCTCTCGCCTTCCGTCTCTCGCCTTCCGTCTCTCGCCTTCCGTCTCTCGCCTTCCGTCTCTCGCCTTCCGTCTCTCGCCTTCCGTCTCTCGCCTTCCGTCTCTCGCCTTCCGTCTCTCGCCTTCCGTCTCTCGCCTTCCGTCTCTCGCCTTCCGTCTCTCGCCTTCCGTCTCTCGCCTTCCGTCTCTCGCCTTCCGTCTCTCGCCTTCCGTCTCTCGCCTTCCGTCTCTCGCCTTCCGTCTCTCGCCTTCCGTCTCTCGCCTTCCGTCTCTCGCCTTCCGTCTCTCGCCTTCCGTCTCTCGCCTTCCGTCTCTCGCCTTCCGTCTCTCGCCTTCCGTCTCTCGCCTTCCGTCTCTCGCCTTCCGTCTCTCGCCTTCCGTCTCTCGCCTTCCGTCTCTCGCCTTCCGTCTCTCGCCTTCCGTCTCTCGCCTTCCGTCTCTCGCCTTCCGTCTCTCGCCTTCCGTCTCTCGCCTTCCGTCTCTCGCCTTCCGTCTCTCGCCTTCCGTCTCTCGCCTTCCGTCTCTCGCCTTCCGTCTCTCGCCTTCCGTCTCTCGCCTTCCGTCTCTCGCCTTCCGTCTCTCGCCTTCCGTCTCTCGCCTTCCGTCTCTCGCCTTCCGTCTCTCGCCTTCCGTCTCTCGCCTTCCGTCTCTCGCCTTCCGTCTCTCGCCTTCCGTCTCTCGCCTTCCGTCTCTCGCCTTCCGTCTCTCGCCTTCCGTCTCTCGCCTTCCGTCTCTCGCCTTCCGTCTCTCGCCTTCCGTCTCTCGCCTTCCGTCTCTCGCCTTCCGTCTCTCGCCTTCCGTCTCTCGCCTTCCGTCTCTCGCCTTCCGTCTCTCGCCTTCCGTCTCTCGCCTTCCGTCTCTCGCCTTCCGTCTCTCGCCTTCCGTCTCTCGCCTTCCGTCTCTCGCCTTCCGTCTCTCGCCTTCCGTCTCTCGCCTTCCGTCTCTCGCCTTCCGTCTCTCGCCTTCCGTCTCTCGCCTTCCGTCTCTCGCCTTCCGTCTCTCGCCTTCCGTCTCTCGCCTTCCGTCTCTCGCCTTCCGTCTCTCGCCTTCCGTCTCTCGCCTTCCGTCTCTCGCCTTCCGTCTCTCGCCTTCCGTCTCTCGCCTTCCGTCTCTCGCCTTCCGTCTCTCGCCTTCCGTCTCTCGCCTTCCGTCTCTCGCCTTCCGTCTCTCGCCTTCCGTCTCTCGCCTTCCGTCTCTCGCCTTCCGTCTCTCGCCTTCCGTCTCTCGCCTTCCGTCTCTCGCCTTCCGTCTCTCGCCTTCCGTCTCTCGCCTTCCGTCTCTCGCCTTCCGTCTCTCGCCTTCCATCTCTCGCCTTCCATCTCTCCCCTTTCGTCCTCCCTGGTAATTGTCCGCTGGTCTTCCTCTGCATGTCTTGCGCTCTTTTGCTGCTGCTTTGCGCTTCTGCAGTTCTCTTTATCTGTTGCTCCCCTTTGCTGCCCCCCCCCCCCACCTTCTGCTCATGCTTAGCAGCCCAGCAGCCTGGCAGTGAAGATTGATAGTTATGTCTCAAAAGGCCCTCATCCCCCCCTCCACCCACCCACCCTCTCCCCCCTCATCCATGCAGCGGCAGAGCCTGGCGGTTGAGTTTGACACATCGGCCTCCCCCGAGTTCAACGAGCCCCGACCACCACGGGGGGGTGAACCTGCACGGCAGCATGCTCTCTCTCGCCTCTGCCCCCGTGCACCCCGTCACTCTTCACCTCTGCCTCTTCTGTTCTCTTCTGTTGCTGCTCTGCCGTTCTGCTGCTGCTGCTGCTGCTGCTGCTGCCTCCCCTACCTCTCCCCCCGCTATCCACAGCAGCAGCGGAGCCTGGCAGTGGAATTCGACACGTCCTCATCTCCTGAGTTCTTGGACCGCCCCGACCACCACGTGGGGGTGAACCTGCACGGCAGCATGCTCTCTCTCGCCTCTGCCCCCGTGCACCCCGTCGGCATTCCCTCTCTCAATGCCGGTCAGACCCTCCTCGCCACCATCCAATACAACGCCTCCTCCTCCCACCTCACCGTCTATCTCTCCCCCGCCCCCTCCTCCTCTCGCTCTTCCTCCCCCGCCTCCCCTCCCCTCCCGCGCTCTACTCTTCTCTCCATGTTCCTGGACACCTGCGAGTGGCTGGGGGGGAACGACCCGGAGGCAGCAGCGCCCCCCCCGCCGCTTTTTGTGGGATTCACAGCGGCCACGGGCAAGGGGGCGGAGCAGGCTCAGGCGCACGAGGTGTTGGGGTGGAGCTTCCAAGTCGGGGAGGGTGAGTTCATGTGCCCTCCTCCCTGACCCTGTTTTGAGCGTATTTTAGGGGGAAATTACCCTTGCATTACTTTATCACCTGAGAGTAGCTCGACACATGTGAGGAGCTTGGGGAGAATGGCCCACATGTATGCTTATCTGCTTATCTGCTTATCTTATCAGCATCTGCAGGCAGTGTTGCATGCCTGCATGAGGTGGTGGGTTGGAAGGTTGAAGTATGGGAGGATGAGTTGAGTTCAACTGACTCCCCATCGCCTAGTGTAAGCCTCCCTAACCCTTCCCCCCCCCTGCTCCCGCCCCTATATATATTTTTTTATGCCAACCCCAGCAGCGGAGGATCCGCTTCCGTTTTGGGCTGCAGACTCGTTCTCCTTCCCCTACATCACGCCAGCCACTCCCCTGCTGACACGTGGCAGCACCAGGAAGCGCTTCTTCGCCGCGGATCTCTCCGTCGCTGCTGACGTGGCATCTACCAGCCAATCAGATGATCCCGCCCCCGGTGCCCTCTTCTTCCCTCGCCGTCTCCCCCTCCTCTACTCCTCCTCCCCTCCCTTCCCTCCTCCTTTGCCTCGTCCGCGCAGAAGCTCCCCCCGCTCCTCTCCTTCCTCCTCCTCACCTCCCCAATCCACAGCAACCGAACCTCCCACCTGCATCGCTCGCTCGTTCACCTTCACATACGGCTTTTCCATAAATGTATCCGCGTCTCAAGGGCTCACATTCGTTATAAGTACACATGCGAGCGTGGGCCTAGGCGGGGCTTATATGGGGTACGGTCGGGACCCATCCTCGCGGCTCGCTAATGGCAGCTGGCCGGACGGCGCGCGGAGTGTAGCTGTGTTTTGGCACCCGGAAATTGACAACGTATATACCATACACTTTGGCGTTAACACTGACTTCAACATGACTTCGATTTTCACAGAGAAGTTGTCAACTGTCGTGGAGCCTGAGGAGGTGTTGCAGATGAGGGTTGACTATAACGGGAGAAGCAAGGAGATGCTGATCCGATGGTACCAACCCCCTCTTCTAGTAGGCAGCATGAACGTCTCTCTTGACCTCTGTGCTGCTCTCATTGGGCCCAATGCCACCAGCGGGAGCAGCAGTGACGGCGGCAGTGGTAGCGGCGGCAGCAGCAACAGCAGTAACAGCACCACCGCCACCACAAGTGGCAGCAGCAGCAGCACCAACAGCAGCAGCACTGACAGCAGTGCAACGGACCTATGGTCGCCATCCTTTGGGCAGCTGTTCGTTGGGTTCACCAGCGCTGCTCTCCCTCCCCCACCTGGCCGCCTGCCTTCCCCCGTCGCCCTCTCCTCCTGGACCTTCCGATTCACAGGTAGGTGGGGGGGAAGGGGGCGAGATGGGGGGGAAGGCGAGAAAAGTGGGAGGGGAAGGGGGCGAGAAAGGGGGGAGGGGAAGGGGGCGAGATGGGGGGGCGGGGAAGGGGGCGAGATGGGGGGGAGGGGAAGGGGGCGACATGGGGGGGAGGGAAAGAAAGAAGGAATAGCAATCCACAAACCTGCCCCTGTCGCCTTCCGACAGGTAGGGAGATGGGAGGGCGGATTTTCGTTTCTGTAACCCCATGAACCCCCGCGCATCCCCTTGCAACCCCACGTATTCCCTTGCATTCCCACGTATTTCTTGCATCCCGTTGTGTCCCCTTGCACCCCCTCGTATCCCCTTGCACCCCCTTGTGTCCCCTTGCACCCCCTCGTATCCCCTTGCACCCGCTGGCTGGGGATCCTCTCTGACAACGACCCCTGCAAGGCCTCTCCTGTGCTCCCCTGTGCCAGGGGCGTGTGCGCCAAGGCGCCTGCCCCGTGGGACCCGTGCCTCCCGGTAGGAGACACGTGGGCGAAGGTAGGAGGCACGGCGTGACCCATACCTCCCCGTGCCCCCTACCTTCGCCCTCCTCACTCTCCGTCTGCCTCATACTCCTCATCACCCCCCAACAGACACCAACCCCTGCAAGGCCTCTCCACTCCAGTGCTCCCCTGTGGCTCGGGCGTGTGCGCCAAGACGCCTGCCCCGTGGGACTTCTCTATCCTCGTGCCGCCTCACACCCTTGCTTGCTCTCCTACTGCCTCCTTCTCATCCCCCCCCAACAGACACCGACCCTTGCAAGGCCTCTCCAGTGCTCCCCTGTGGCATGGGTGCATGCACCAAGGCACGTGCCCCGTGGGACCCGTCTATCCTCGTGCCCTCCTGCAAGTGCCCTTTCAATCTCCCTGCCTTCCAACCCTCCCACCTTGCCGGCCTGCCCTCCTGCTTCCCTGGTGAGACGTGGAGTCAAGAGGTGGAGAGGCAAGAGGTGGAGTGCGGTAGGTGAGAGGTGGAGTGCGGTAGACAAGAGGTGGAGTGTTACCAGTAGATGCCTTGCTGGTTTGGGTGCATGCACCAAGGCACGTGCCCCGTGGGACCCGTCTATCCTCATGCCCTCCTGCAAGTGCCCTTTCAATCTCCCTGCCTTCCAACCCTCCCACCTTGCCGGCCTGCCCTCCTGCTTCCCTGGTGAGACGTGGAGTCAAGAGGTGGAGAGGCAAGAGGTGGAGTGCGGTAGGTGAGAGGTGGAGTGCGGTAGGTGAGAGGTGGAGTGCGGTAGACAAGAGGTGGAGTGTTACCAGTAGATGCCTTGCTGGTTTGGGTGCATGCACCAAGGCACGTGCCCCGTGGGACCCGTCTATCCTCGTGCCCTCCTGCAAGTGCCCTTTCAATCTCCCTGCCTTCCAACCCTCCCATCTCTCCGGCCTGCCCTCCTGCTTCCCTGGTGAGACGTGGAGTCAAGAGGTGGAGAGGCAAGAGGTGGAGTGCGGTAGGTGAGAGGTGGAGTGCGGTAGACAAGAGGTGGAGTGTTACCAGTAGATGCCTTGCTGGTTTGGGTGCATGCACCAAGGCACGTGCCCCGTGGGACCCGTCTATCCTCGTGCCCTCCTGCAAGTGCCCTTTGAAGCTCCCTTCCTTCCAACCCTCCCATCTCTCCGGCCTGCCCTCCTGCTTCCCTGGTGAGATGTGGAGTGCGGTAGGTGAGAGGTGGAGTGCGGTAGGTGAGAGGTGGAGTGCGGTAGGTGAGAGGTGGAGTGCGGTAGGTGAGAGGTGGAGTGCGGTGGTGAGAGGTGGAGTGCGGTAGGTGAGAGGTGGAGTGCGGTGGTGAGAGGTGGAGTGTGGTAGGTGAGAGGTGGAGTGCGGTAGGTGAGAGGTGGAGTGCAGTAGGTGAGACATGGAGTGAGGTATGCAAGAGGCGGAGTGCGGTAGGCAAGAAGTGGAATGCGGTAGGCAAGAGGTGGAGTGTGGTAGGCAAGAGGTGGAGTGCTATGATGGATTATACGCGTTTAGCGTATATATGCGTATCGTATATACGCTGGCGTGTATACGCCATACGCTTGAGGGTCGGATCAGGCATACGCTTTTTTGGGCAGGGGAAAAAACATTTCGGGCAGGGTGGAAAAAAGTACCCCCTATCTCATCTCACTAAGACGTGCCCTAGCATTTTCCTGAGTCCGATCGGCGGGTGGGGTGGGGCGGGGAGTAGTTATCATAGCTAGAGGGAGTAGTGTTGGAGAGGCTTTTCAAGTTGGAGTGTGCAGTGACTGCCAGAAGCGGGAATGCAAGGTTGAAAATGACGGGTTAGGAGTTCGGTTGGCTGGTAAGTAGCATGAGATTTGTTGGGGGTTCGATTTTGATAGGTTGGATTTCGTAGATAAGATGGTTTTCAATGCGGTAGAGGGGATGGGTTCAAATGCCTAGTTGGGATCTAAAATTCGACATTTGATTAGTCAGATGTGCCTGAAAACTTCGAAGTCAGATCCCAGCTTGCCTAGACCGCGGATTTGCATTTCGACTTCGGCGAAATGCTCACCAAGAAAATCCGCATCTTTTCTGCGATTTTATTTTTCCGGGCTGCCCGAAAATTTTTATGGCTGCGTATTGCGTATTCGCTAGCGTTTAGCGTATTGCGTGTACCCGCTAGCGTAGATACGCTAAACGCGAAGGGTCTCGAGCGTATAATCCATCATAGGTGGAGTGCAGTAGGTGAGAGGTGGAGTGCGGTAGGTGAGAGGTGGAGTGGAGTGCGGAAGGTGCCCTTTTGGTTTGTTTGTGGATGACGTAGTTTTGTACGCATGCACTCGTTCTCGATTCACAACGCACTTGAGAAAATGCAAAAGTTGTACCCTTTAATCCTTAATCAGTCATCAACCTGCTCCCTTCTTTCTTTTGCCTCTTTCATTTTTTGCTCTTGAGATTTGTGAAAAAAGTCTGCACTCGTCAGATTAGTTTGGCTGGCAAAAATATTGTGTAGGCCTGCTTTGTAAAAACCTTGTGAAAATGAATATTGGCACTGAAAAGTATTAGTACCCGTCACGTCATAATAGTTCAACTGGCGGACCATTTGGCTTACCAAACACCTGGTGAATCGGTCCATGTAATACTACCCATCAGATTGGTTCAAAAGCTTCCTCTAGAAAAACGCCTCGTACGATGGTCCTAATCTCGTACAATGGTCCTAATCTCGTACAATGGTCCTAATCTCTCACTGAAATCCAAACCCAAGAAACAATGCCAGTGCACCAAAAGTAAAAGCTTCTTTCACACGGGCCGATTGTACTTCAAGATCTACTTATGACCAATAAACGACACATTCGCATCAAGGCACCATTTTTAGCGTGATTTCCAGCCGGACTTGTGGCACAATGTCTAGCAAAAGAGATGTCGTATTTGCAGAATTTTGTGGGCCTGTGGGCGTTTGGCCGATGCAGCTTATGGCAGACCTTTCGGAAGAGCAACAGGAAGGCGATGGGCCTCCTGATCTTGTGAAAATCCTTGGCGAATGACCTTTCCTGCAACGCCCTTCTTTCTCGTTTTCCCTCCTTCCCCCCCCCACCGCCTCTCCCCCGTCCCCTTCTTCCGCTTCCTCCTCATGCCCCTTTCTCCTCCTTTCTCGTTCTCCATCCCCGATTCCCCTTGCCCCCTTACCCCCCATCCCCCGTCCCCCTGTCCCATTTTCCTGCCGTCCCCTTTTCCCCCCAACCCCTCACCAGATTCCTTCACGTGTGCACAGTTCTTCCACATCCCATGTATTCCTGGGATGTGGATTGATGATGAGCACGGATGGTGTGTTTTTTAGATGTCTCAAAAAATAGATTCTTCCACATCCCATGTATTCCTGGGATGTGCATTGAGGATGGTGTGCATGGATGGTGTGCTACTCACTCACTCCTGCTCTCTTCCCACTCTGCTCCCCCAATTCTCTTTCCCTTCCCCCCCCTCCCTTGACCAGATTCCTTCACGTGTTGCCTGTTCCCCCGCAACCTGTGCCCCAGGGGTGTGCATCGATAACATAGACGGCACGGCACCGACTCCTGCTCGCTTTCCAATCCCCCCTTCCCCCCCTTCCTTGACCAGATTCCTTCATGTGTCGCCAGTTCCCTCGCAACCCGTGTGCCCCGGGGCGGGGGTGTACCTTGATGACGTAGACGGCACCTAGTCTCTGCCCTTCATCCTTCTTCCCGTTGTTACCCTTTCCCCTGTCCGCCCATCCCCACTAACCAGATTCCTTCACGTGTCGTCAGTTCCCTCGCAACCCGTGTGCCTGGGGGTGTGCATGGATGACACAGACGGCACCTACTCCTGCCTCCTGCCTCCTGCCTCCTGCCTCCTGCCTCCTGCCTCCTGCCTCCTGCCTCCTGCCTCCTGCCTCCTGCCTCCTGCCTCTGCCCTTCACCCTACACCCAGGGGCGTGGATGGATGGCATAGACGGTTCGGCACCTACTCCTGCTGCTCTCTTTCCACTAAGATTTTTCCAACTCCCCCTTCTTCCCCTTTTCCCAACTCCCCCTTCTTCCCCTTTTCCCAACTCCCCCTTCTTCCCATGCCCTCACCAGATTCCTTCACGTGTCGCCTGTTCCTCCGCAACCCATGTGCCCCGGGGGTGTGCATCGATAACATAGACGGAACCTACTCCTGCCTCTGCCCCTCGCCCTACTTCCCCTTCTATTTCTACCCCGAAGGCGCTGCCCGCTGTTATCAATGTGCGAACCACACGGTCAGATGGTCTCACTTGCTTGCTTCTTCTACCCCAAAGGCGCTGCCCGCTGCTCCCAGTGTGCGTACTGCATGGTCAGATGGCCTTGCTTGCTCGCTCGCTCGCTTGCTTGCTTGATCGCTGGCTACCAGCCTCTGCCCCTCGCCCTTCTTCCCCTTCTACTTCTACCCCAAAGGCACTGCCCGCTGTTACCATGGTCACATGGCCTTGCTTGCAACCAGCACTTATCGTCATGGCTCTCGTCACATCTCATGGACCTCGTCTCGTTACATCTGAGGCAACTCTGATGCCACCACCACGACCTTGCTGCTTGCAGTGACCTGCCTGCCTCATGCTTACCCCATGAATGCGTACCCCATGAATGCGTACCCCACCTTCCTGGCCCATCTGATAGCACTTATCGTCATGGCTCTCATCACATCACATGGACCCCGTATCTCCTGTGTTTGCATCACATGGACTTTATCGTTATCGTTATCACCCCATGCATGCCTGCCCCATGCATGCCTACCCCATGCATGCCTGCCCCATGCATGCCTACCCCATGCATGCCTACCCCATGCATGCATACCCCATGCATGCCTACCCCATGCATGCAGTGCGATTGACTGAGACTCGAATGCCCACCTTCCTGTCGCCCTACGGCCTCACATGCGCTCTCATCCTCAACACCTACGGGCTCACCCAAGCGGACTTCTTCAGCCAGAACAAGGTCTGACATTGATCTGAAGGAAGGTTTAGGCTGTAGATTGATTGGGGCCAGGACATTCCGTGTCACATGCCCGCTCATCCTCAACACATATGGACTCACGCAAGCAGACTTCTTCAGCCGAAACAAGGTCAAGGAGAGTTCTGGTTAGGAGGAGTGTGTTTGGGGCAGCACACTTCTTTCACAGCACAACGTGTGGCATCGCATCGCATCACATGCCCTCTCATCCTCAACTCAACTCAACACCTATGGCCTCACCCAAGCGGAATTCTTCAGCCATTGCAAGGTCTGGAAGGTCTCACCACTTGCCCTTTCTCGTCATGGCACAACCACACTGCCCCACATCGCCCCTCATTACCCCTCAGTTTCTCTCGCTTCCCCTCTCTGCCCCTCACTGCCCCTCAATACCCTCACTTCCACTCAATTCCCCTCACTCCCCCCCACTTCCCCTCACTTCCACTCAATTCCCCTCACTCCCCCCCACTTCCCCTCACTTTCCGCCCATTCTTCCCACCGCTCATTCTTCCCACCGCCCATTCTTCCCACCGCTCATTCAGCCTGCCCCATTCACAACTCTCGTTGTGATTGCAGAGCTTCCAAATCCGTACCCCCCTTCCTGTCTTGCCTTCACAGTCTTTCCTGTTGGTCGAATACCCACGTTCCAACCAATCCAGTCCTCCCTCCCTCCTTCATCCAACCAATCGAATCCTCCCTCTCTCCTTGATTTGACAGCAGGGGTTCCAGTGCCAACCGCCCATCCCCGTAGGCACAGTGGTCAATGTCACTAGTCGGGCTTTCTTGCCACAATGCACGCACTGCCATGTGCATTTGACTCTACTCAGAGGTCATCCTCTTTGTCTCTCACTCCCAATGCACTTCCATGTGCTTCTGAGTCAGCTCAAAGGTCCTCCTCCTCTTATTTGTACTTTCTGAGTGCAGGGGTTTCAATGCCGAGCGCCCATCCCTGTGAACACTCTCGTTAACGTCACCAGCCGGGCTTTCTCCCAATGCACTTCCATGTACACTGCTAATTATGTAAGTGCTGTTGCGTTGAAGTGATTTCATGTGCGTTTATGTAAGCGCCTTTGAACACAACCTCAAAACGTACACCCTCTCCACCGCTCACTCTAAATCGTCGCCTGTGTTCGCATTTCCCACTTCATCCATCTTCTGCCCCCTCCCTCCATCGGCCCACTCCTTCCATCGAGTTGACTTTTGAGTTGACTTTTGAGTCGACTCAAAAGTTCAATCCTCGCCTGTGTTCGCATTTCCCATTTCATCCTTCTTCTGCCCCCTCCCTCCATCGGCCCACTCCTTCCATCTCACCCAATTTTTGCCCCTGTTTCCGCCGTCTCCCTTCCCCCTCCCTCCTTCCCTGTGTGCCGGCAGGGTGACATGTGTGACTCACTCAACGCCCTCTTCCCCACTCTCTCTGGCTTGCCTTGCCCACTCACCCAAATTTCGTCCGCATTCCCCTTCCCTTCGTCTTCCCAACCCACTGTGGCGCAGGGTGACACGTGTGACTCCCTCAGCGCCCCCCCCCCCCTCCCCCCCGTTCCTGGTCCCTGTGTGTGCCGGCAGGGTGACACGTGTGACTCCCTCAGCGCCCTCTTCTCCACGCAGATACAGCCGCTCAACCCCGCCCTCTCCTGCTCCGATGGGCCCAGGCCCGGCCAGGTGAGCATCGGTGCAGATGGGTGCAGATGCGTGCAGGTGAACGTGGGTGAAGGTGGGTGCAGGATCCCTGCGTTTTGAAACTGGTTTTGTCTGTCTATTCCTGCTGCTCGAGATATGATTCATTGATCATTACTGCCAAAGATTGACTCTGTTGCACGAAAAAAACACATCACATCGCATCACATCACATCACATCACATCGCATCGCATCGCATCGCATCGCATCGCATCACATCACATCACATCGCATCACATCACATCACATCGCATCGTATCGCATCGCACTCATCTCCCACCAAACTCTATCTCCACAGAAATGGGTGCGTGTTTTCACATTCCTCTCCCCCCTCTCCCCCCTCTTCCCCATTCTCCTCCGTCCCTCCTTCCCAGCTCCTCTGCGTAGCCTTCAACCAGACGTGGCTAGAGGAGGGAAAAACCCGCATATCATGCAGGCTTCAAGCGCAAATCACCCCAGCCGTGACACCAACCCCAGCCACAGCTCCAGCCACACCAAGCCCTCAACCACCCCCTCCTCTAGCCAACTACACGAGTCTAGGTGTGCTCGTGACGGTCCTCCAGGGCCCGCAAACCTGCCAGCAGCTGTGGCGGGCGTTTGCCATCGCCTCCCCCACGCGCTTCTTCCAGATGAATCAGGGCCTCTCGTGCGACTCGCTGCTGCCTTACAGCCCCCTGCAGGGCAGTATGATGAGAAGGGTGAGTTGGGCTGGGAGGGAGGGTGAGAGTCGAGGGTTTGCGGGTGTGAGTTGTGGGATGAGGGAGGAGCGAAGTCTGACGCGCTTCTTCCAGTTGAATCCCGGCCTCTCGTGCGACTCGCTGCTGCCTTACAGCCCCCTGCAGCGCAACATGATGAGAAGGGTGAGTCGGGAAGGTCTGTGTTTGGGGTGGGGTGGGGGAGGTTATACGCTATACGCTGCAAATAGTACCTGTGCCTGTGCCTGTGCCTGTGTCTGGTGCTTCTGTCGATGTCTCTGCCTCTGTGTGTGAAGGTTATCTAATGCAGTTCTTTTTCTTCCCCTTCCATCCTGTTCCCACTAATGGTTGACTCACAGATTTGTGTCGCTAGCGTTGACAGCCGACCGTTATCCGGCAATACATGTTCAACCAAGCGATTGTACAGTGTGAAACGCGGAGATACATGTGGCATGTTGATTGCCAAGAGATACAGTCGCAAGATTGACATGTTTAGGTATCTTAACAATGGGTATGATTGTACTGTAAATAGGTTGTGGATTGGCATGTTACTCTGCTTACCCTAATATATTTATCGATCATGTGCTGAAACGCCAAAGCAAGGTCTTGAACCAGTACCGTAATAGTGAGTCTGAAATTTCAACATATTCTGTAGTGTTCGCTGATTTTACAGCATTGTACCCAACGAGAATATGCCACTCGTAATCAACAAGGGTCTAGATAATATGTTTGATTAAAAAATATAACAGGTACGGTCACTGCAAAGGGTGTTTTCACATGATGGATAAAGCATTTCACGGAATCAGTCACAATCAACTGGGAAAAAAATAAAAAAAAGATGAAACTCCCGTAAAAAAAAAATATAATACCCAAAAGGAACCTGGATGCATTTTCGGATTAATCAACCCTAAACACAATTAGCCAGGTGTTTAGGGTTGATCCGTCCCCAAACTGCATCCAATTCCGATTGGGTTTTATTATTTTACGAAGTTAGCTGATTGGTTGCGCAGGAGCGGGAAAATTTTAGAGTTTCAAGAAATTTTGGTGGGAATTACATGTGTGACCATTCGTGTGATTTTTAACCCGCCGTTAGTGACTGAATCCGTGACCCCACTTACCAAACCCCCCAGGAATCCCGATACAGTGACCGTACGCGTTACAATTTTACCATTCACGTTATCGAGTCCCATGTTGGTTACGTGTGGCATATTTTCCCTTGTACCCATGGAGTACTGTAAGGAGTGAAGCACTTTTCGGGTGTAAGAGTTTCTTATAAGCGATGTGTCGGGTCTGCTTCGCTTCCTCACCACTGGTCACGCCCTCATCAAACAGCTCTCATCCTTCCCAACCCCTTCATTCACCACCAGCACTAATACCGTTCCCAAGCAGAAGCAGCTTGAGTCTCCTATTAGTGAAGCGCTAGTAACACGATCAGAGGCTGAACAGCTAGTGTCTGCTGTTGTCCTTCGAATTAAGTTACCTTGAACTATGCGTTGACTTCGTCTAGTTCGTATGCGAGCCGTCGTCAGTTTCTTGTTCCCACATAACTCAACAATAAGACACCGTTTTCTTCTCCATTCCATAGAGCGAAACGCTTTGCTATTGTTTTTTTTGGGACATAGCGCTTGCGACTCCCTTTCATTTTTAGCTGACAGATCTGACCAATGGCGAAACGAGGATTTGACACGGAATATTCGGTTCTAGACGATGCGAGGGGGGATTCGGAGGAGTGCAAACGGCACAAAATCGAAACGGACGACTCCGTGGTCAGGCTTCAGGAGTTATTGAGCGTTCTTAGTAAAAAGGTGGAAACTATTGAACAGACCCTGGTTGAAGACAGAGAGGCGAGCAAAGCAAGCATTCGACAGCTAGAAGATGACCTAGCGCGAGAGAGGATTGCGAGGGAGGAGAAGGAAATGGAGGTGCATGCGTTGTCAGCGCGACTGGCTCTAGCAGAGGAAGCGCTGGTTTGGCGGAAAGAGGAATTGCGGAAGATCTGGGAGGTGAGAAGTCGCCGAAGACGGCACGTCTGATTGCGTATCATGGAATGGGAGCGAACATCCCGTCTTTTCGTGGTTGCTGATCTTAGTTGGTTATCATTCCGTACCCTGGTTGGTAATTGTCCCGAACGTGGTTGCTGTCATTCTTTCAGGCAATCCCAGAAGCCGCTCGTCACCTTCCCACAGAAGAGGACATGCAAATCGTCAATCTCCACCCCGAAACCACCGAAATCACGCTCAACGACCCTTCCCGCGTGACACCGTTTGGTTTCCTGCGCCTCTCCTGCATGCGATCCCTCAAGAACATCTCCGTTATGGGCAATCTCGAAAAGCCTGCTCTTCTGCGCCTCTACTCAATGACATGGCTGGAGGAGCTGCGACTGGATTCGGTCTCTGAGCCCTTGTTGCCAGAAATTGCGAATCTTAAAGCCCTTCGCCATCTGGAGTTGCGTGATACTCCGATGTCAGGAAACGGGCTTGCTAACCTCACAACCCTATTCTCGTTACAGAGTCTTGTTCTGTCTCAGCAGTTGTTGGGAGGGAGCTTCACGTCTGATAGCATGGTATATGTGGGGAAGCTCGGAAACCTGGAGCATCTAGATATTGCCAATACTCAGGTGTGTGACTACGGGTTATGGTGCCTTACCCCTCTGGTCAAGTTAAGATGGCTTAGCCTTCCCCCAAATATCACGTATCGGGGGATGGAGTACCTAAAGTGTTTCAGGTCTCTCAAGACTCTGTTGCTCAGGTTTCAGTTCTTTGTTGAATGCCTGAAAGCATTTCCATGCCTTGAAAACGTTGGAGTGAGTGATTACCAGGCGCTAGAGAGAGTGAAGCTGGTTCTTCCAGGCCTAAACTCGTTTGTTATTGGGGCATAAATATTTTTCATAGTTGAGTGTTCTTTTTTCTTGCACCTTCCAGTGCCCACTGATAGCCATGTGTAATAGTTGAATGATGGGAGCAGGTTGGCAACGTTGGCTACCGTTGGCTGCCATGCAGTGTTCACGTGGGTGGAGGTTTTCATACTCAGGTCAGTGTTGGTTGGTACGCAAGGTTGGTGGTGTGAACGAGAGGGGGGGGGGGGGGGTTTCAGAAGTGAGGAAATGGCGGGAGATGCATAGGGGTGAGGAAAAGGGGGACGTTGGGTTGCATGGTAATGCGAAGGCAAGATTGTCTTGGAGGGGTTGAGTTGTGAGGGGTGTGAGGGTTGCGAGAGAAAGAAATCACGGGTCTCAAGAAGCGAGACAAAGGGTGGCTTGGGAGTTGCATCAGGTGTGGGTTGACATTGGGAATCGTATTGGGGGAGGCAAGCACTTGGATGGGGGCCGGGGGCAGGGGGCAGGGGGCAGGAAAGGAGGGTTCAGGGTTCTGTTGCTTTGTGGTAAGCGTGTGAGAAGTGAGGGAATGGGGAGATGCATAGATGATTGTTGAAGGGAATATGGGGAGGTTGGGTTGCAATGCAAGGGTAAGATTGTCTGGGAGGGATTGAGCTGTGAGAGGTGCGAGGAAAGGGAAATTGGGGTCGCATTATTGAGATGATGGGGGAATTGTGGGTTGCAAGAGGCGTGAGTGACATTGAATATTGAATCGGGAGAGGCGCATTTGGGGAAGGGGGGCAGTGAAGAGGAGGGAGAGAAGGGGGTGGGGGAGTCTGTGACTTTTTGGTAAAATGAGGTATTATGGAAGTTTGGCTCGAAGAGGTGCAAGGGACCGGGAGAGTTGAGCAGGGAGAGATTCGAGGGACTGGGGGAGTTGGGCAGTTAGAGATGCGAGGGACTGGGGCAGTTGGGCAGTTAGAGATGCGAGGAACTGGGGGAGTTGGGCAGTTAGAGATGCGAGGGACTGGGGGATTTGGGCAGTTAGAGATGCGAGGAACTGGGGGAGTTGAGCAGGGAGAGATGCGAGGGACTGAAAAGCTGATTTTGGTGATGAGCGGGGGAGGAGGGGGGGAGCGGGGGGTTGGGGGGGGAGTTGGGGGTTGGGGGGGGAGGATTGGGGGGGTGGAGGGGAGGGGCGGGTTGAGGGGAGGGGCAGGCGGGGGGAGGGCATCAGGCTGTGAGAAGCATTACTCTGGTGGAGTTTGGTCAGGACTTGGAAAAAGCATGCGGGATTAAGGGACGTGGGATGTGAGGCGTCAGGATGTGCGGTAGTTTCGTTGCAAATGGTGCCTGGGAGGAATTGGAGAAGTTAGTTTGGGAGAAGGAAAAGTCAAACTGTGAGAGTTTTATAAACTAGAAAATCACTTCCCGTGGGAAGATTAATTTTAGAAAATGCCATTCGGAACAGCTCAGTCACCTCCACACAGTTTTGGAGGTAACAGCCCAGATTCGGAAAATGTTTTTAGTTCGGCACTTTTGCGAGTTCGACTTTATTGTATGTGTCTGCTTAATGAATTCGCTTATACATCGTAGCTGTTCTGTGCGACCTCCGCCCTTATCATCACTGGTCGAGATTCTGAGTACAGTAGCGATGACGGGGATCGAGTTACCATACTGAAGCAGATTCCAGCAGCAAGTTCAGCAGCACGATTCCGATAACGTCACCCTCTCATCTGGAAATCTGGAAATCTGTAATTGCACACCAGAATCTTGCTTGTTTCAACCTTCCTTTCACTTATCGGTTGATGAAACAAGCAAGAAAAACTTAGGGCGTGTAACAATTTTTGCCTTCGCCCGTCCGGACATTTTTCTGGTTACCTTGCTTGAGAGCTCGCAAGCACCCTGGCGACGTCGTTAATGATCAGACCTCGGGAAACATTTTGCGTGATCTGCCATCCCAAGTCGTCCCAACAATTACCGTATGATAAACGGACGGACAAAACAGTAACGCGATTTCACTGGCGCACGAAAGCACGTTTTCGAGTCGCCTGATTATTACCTTGTTCGCAACTGCGTCATAGACATGTTTACATTGTCGCAAATACTTTGTTTGTCGCTGATATGAAGAAGTGTCAGAAACAGCGTGCGGACGAGGCTCGGTACGGACGCTGGACTCGGACCGTCCAAAATCTGGTATCCAAACGCTTTCCGGACGATCGTCTGGACGTTTTCATCATTTAAAAAATGTAGCACGCCCTCAGCTAACAATTCAGGGAATTCCCTTACTATGATGCATTTGCGGAAAGTTGAATGGTAGTGAACGCGCTCTCCGCTAACTCCTTATCATTGAGAGAAGCCTACGGTGTTGTTCTGATGAGAAATAGAAGTGACGTGCTCTTCTCATATGCTCCTCTGTTGGTTATTTCAGCTAGGCGTTCGGGCCACCTTTCCGCTTGTGTTTTCTTTTCTTTCTTTTTTTTCCTCACAAAATGGCAACAGCAACCGTAAAGCTCTTGGAGGAGATTATGACGATAGGAACGCGATTAGCAGTTCGATTTGATGACGCAAAGAGAGAGTTAGAGGAGGAAAAGCGACAGAGTGAAGAAAAGGTCGAGAGTTTGCTGACAGCAAGAGTGGCAAGCTTAGAAAAAAGTCTGGAGGAACTGAAGGAGGCGAATAAATTCAGCATAAGTGAACTTAAAGATGAACAAACTCGAGAACGGAGCATTTGGGAGGAGAAGGAGAAGAAGATGGCAGCGAGACTGGACAAGGCAGAAAAAATGCTGGTGCAACAGCGGGATGAAACGAGGAAGCTCTGGCAGGTGAGAATGGTAACTCATAAGACATTAAATAGTCGTAGTCTTGTTTCATCCGGTTTTCCTGTCTTGCTGGCTGCTCATTCTCTGTACATTGTTTTCTTGCTTTCAGGCTATAATATGAAGCCTCACGTCAGCCTACCCGCCAGCCACCAACTGGTGCAGATGGGGCGATTGTTAGTGCTTCTGCTGAAGCGACTGAAGTCAAGCTGAGCAACAACAGTGGGCCTTTGACGGGCCTTGGGACTCTTCGCCTTTCCTGCATGAAATGCCTGAAGAAACTTGACATTTGGGAGACTGTTGACGAAAGCGCGTTCTCTCATCTCTACACCATGACATGGTTGGAGGAGCTGTATCTGCAATCAGGGAATGTCAGTGTCGCAATGGCTCAAGGCATTGGGAGAATAACGGCGCTCACCCGGCTTGACTTAATCGAGGCCAAAATTTCATACGCTGGTCTTGCTCAATTGACAAGCCTTAGCTCACTGCAGATCCTCGTCCTCTCTCGTACCCAGCGTTACCATGACCCCGAGAGCATCTCATCGGCCGGCATGGCGCATGTGGCTAAGTTGAAACGTCTCATATCCCTGGATATAAGCGGGTCTGTGGTGCGGGATGATGGACTACAGCATCTTACCTCCTTGGAGAAGCTGATATGGCTGAGTCTCCCAAGTCAGGTTTCTGCTCGCGGATTGCAACATTTAAATTGCCTATCCCTCAAGACCATCCTGTTGAGGTCCTCCGTTGACCATTATGGAGTGGAGCATCTGAAGGCTTTTCCTAGCCTTGAGAAGGTTGGCCTATCTGACTCCTTCTATGTCAGTATTGTGAAGAGGGCCCTTCCAAACATAAATGTTTTCCAGCTCTCTTGATCGTGTGACAGTAACTTATGATTAGCTTTGCACAGCATGAAAAAAGGATTCTTTAGTCCTGCTTTTGCTTTGTGGTAGCATTCCATTAAGAATGATGGTATAAGTTAGTTGATGAACCTGTTTGCTGCCCTTCAAGCAAGAGCATTACAAATGAATGATCCAAGTCTGGTAGAAGGTTTATTGCACAAGGGGCATTTGCTACACCTGTCCCTGACCTCTTGGGCACACGTGCGGCACAGCATATGGCCACACGGCACAAACGCTGCCTTCCTCCGCCTCTCCATGCACACACAGCCCCCCCCCCCTCCTCCCCTCCACTCCCCTCAACATCCTCCCCAGCTACTGTTCCTCCTCCCACTCCCTCTCCTCTTCCCCTCTTACCGCTCCTCCCCAGCGCCTAACCCTTTGCCCCTCCTCTTCATCCTCTGCTCCTCCCCTCTGTCTCTCCACCCCACGCGCCTTCTACTGCCAGTTACCCCACCACCCCAGGAGTGTGTGGGGGTGAGAGCAGGGCTCTGGATGACACTTGGATTGGCGGGTATCCCAGCACTGCTACGGTACTAGTGGCACCCCTGCTCTTGCTACAACCCTTGCCACACTCCCTGCTACAGTACCTGACATAGTGCGAATCGCAGTTCTTGCTACAGGACCTGCTACAGTTCCCTGCCCCTGAGCGTGTGCTGGCTGCTGCCGTCGCGACCACCACTCATGCTGATGCTGGTAACCTAATAAAAACATTTGCGGCAACAGTAGCAGACAAAGCAGCAGCTGCTGGAGCAGTATCAGCAGCAGCAGTAGTAGAGCAGCATCATTGCTAACCAGAGTGGATGAGCTGGAGGAACCAAAGAGAGCTTGCTCGATCGCGGCAGCAATCAGTGCCTGTTCGTCCCTGCTCCCCCCACGGCTCTGCTGCAACTGCTCGTTCAGCTGGTGCCGCTGCTGCTGGGTCAGACTCTGCTGCTCGTTCTCCTCCCCTCCTCCTGCTTCTCCTTTATCGTTTATAGGAAACTCACAACAGCTCAACAGCATGAGCTGCAGCTAAAGCAACAGGAGATGCCTCCGCCGCTGCTGCCTCTGCGCCTGCATCTTCAACA